CGTGGCTGGCTCGACAGCCTCCTCCCCTGCTCAAGCAATGGGCTGGATGCGACGGGAGGCCCAATAAAAAACACGGCCCGGTTTTGCTTTCCTCGCTCAGTTGCCGGACCCGTCTGCGGCAATGTTATGCGTTTGTGGAGATGAGGCAAAGCTTTAGTACCACATCGGCTACGGAGAGCGGAGCGCGGAGGGAGGGAGCTATAAAAGAAGGGGCACCCCAACCAAAACAAAGCTAAATTGTGTTCTTTGGGCCGTTGGTTTCCATTTCGGACTAATGGGCCAGCATGGGCCTATGTTTCTTTAGTTCCTACTGGCCTTCGACAAAGCTAGTACTTCAGGTGGCGAGTTGATGCGGGGATGGGGATCCCCGCGGGGATTAAATCCCCGAGCGGAGATGGGGATGGGGAAGAAGTGCTCTCCATGAGCCTTCGTGGGGATGGGGACGAAGGAAATTTTCCCCCGCGGGAACGGAGATGGGGCAGTAACCCCAACGGGGGATTCCCCGTTGACATCTCGATGCAGCAGCAACTTTGATTGCTCGACGTGCAAGGCAGCAGCATCTCTCTCTCGCAGTCCAGATCAGAGCAGCACATGCACTAGCGGCCAGCAACAACGTGTGGTGCAGTGTGTGAGTGTGCAACTTTCTTTCTCCCTCTCTCTTTTTACTATATATATATATATATATATATATATATATATATATATATATATATATATATATGTGCAACTTTCTTTCTCCTCTCTCTTTTTACTATATATATATATATATATAATTATGTAATTATAAATATGCCGTCATTCCTTTCACTAATTTACGTACACACATATACATATACCCATTGTACGTTTTTATATATATATATATATATATATATATATATATATTTATTTATTTATCTGTAGAGATTTACTCGAAAAGAAATAAGTTTGTACACTACTTTAATTAATATAGCAGCATGCTTATCAAAATAAAACACGTGAGTGTATATATACCTATATATATTTCTATCGATTTACTAATTTAGACAATTACTAATATGTAGGTACAAAATTTTTTCATCAAAGCTTGAATTTAAATTAGATTCAAAAGCTAATGGCCTCCCGGAGAAGCACGCGCCCCGGCGGCTTATGGCCTCCCGGAGCTCCTTCCTGTCGATGCGGCCTTCGTGGTCGGTGTCGAACTGCTTCAGCCAGCGCCTGTACTCCGGCACCGTCAATGACCGCCGGAGCTCCTTCCCCGAGAACAGGCGGCCCCTCGGCGGCGCCGCCGCGTTCGGAGTCATCGGCTGCCAATCCTGCGATGGCCATGGCTGTTGTCTGCTTTGGGCTGGAGCTCTAGCTAGCTACTAGCTTATTAACTAGCCTGTGGTCGTGCTAGGAAGCTATGGCCGCCAGTGGTCCTGCCACGTCGGAGCTTGCGATCAGTTGCCGCTCCGTTTATAGCTGCGCGCACCGGGCACACACGGCCGGGCCTAGCTTTATAGATTCGTCTCTATGTGCAGGCAAGGTTTGCGTGGCGTCGTGTTGCCTGTTGTCTCACTCCTAGAGGCTAGAGTCGTAGTGGAAGACCGGCTAGTGCCGCAGGCCATGCGAAAGCGGTGACGTGTATTGGACTGCATCATATTCATATCCATGGCCGCCATGGCCATGCGTCTCATGCACGCAGTCATGCTGGGTTCTTTGGGTTATTCGTTTCTGCTGGTTGAATGGACAGAGGAGAGAGGGCGAAGGGCATCTCTTTTTTTGATGTGGAGGGACTGCAATTATTTTTTGGTAAAGTACATTTTTTAAATATAGCATCAACATATATATAACATTTTTAGAAGAAAACATGAACTAGTTTCATATTTTTATAATTTAAAATAAATTAACTACGAACTTTTAGAGATCGAACCAGATTTTATTATTATTAGAAAATAGAAAACCACTTTTGAAATCAGTTGAGGACCAAATTTGTCTGGTTTTGACAGTTCGAGGGTGTCTGTTACCCGGTTTCATAGTTGAAGGTTGAAAATCGAACTTCAATACGAGTTGGAGGTTGGAGGTTGAAAAATATACTTTATCCATTATTTTTTATTCCATTGCCCGCAGTTGATCATTAACGTGCAAGGTCGTCACGCATCTGGTATTATTCTGATGCAGCGTATTACTATGTACTACATCTACACGTGCCGGTAGTAGTAGATGCATTCCCTGGGAAGTACCTGGTGCTTCCTCTTCACATTAGAAAGTTGAGGAGGATAGAAATCCAGCCCTTAATAGATAAGATCGGAGCGAGACTTCTTGGAAAGGGAAATTCTTATTATTGGCCGGAAGAGAAACCTTGGTGAAATCAGTATGTCAAGTTTACCAATATATCATCTAACAGTCTTTCAGGCGTAGAAATGGCTTATTAAGAAGATTGATCGCATTAGAAGAAGTTTTCTATGAAGGGGGGAATTCCGGATAGGGTCAGTGGAGGGCATTCGTTGATAAACTGGCCCACGACATGTTTACTCAAGGTTTAAGGGGGTTTGGGGATTTTGGACCTGGAGCGTTTTACCAGAGGCCTTAGGCTATGCTGGATGTGGCTTCAATGGAAACAGAAAAATAGAGCATGGTCCAATTTGGAAGTCCCCTGTGACAAGGTAGATCGAGATCTTTTCTATACTTCAACCGTAGTAACCATTGGCGATGGAAAGACGGCCCCTTCTGGACGTCGAGTTGGATAAACGGGACCATGGCTAAGTCAATAGCGCCATCGCTATACACAAAGACGAGAAGGAAAAAGATAACCATTCATCAAGCACTAAAGAATGAAAAATAGATTGATCATATTTACCCACCAACAACGCATGAGGAAGTGATAGAATTTGTGAATCTCAGGGAGGCACTAAGGGGATTTACACTCAACGAACCGGTCGAAGATAGTCGTCCTGTTCTGCAGCACTACTTCAGCGGTACTTTTCAGTAAACAAACAGTGTTTTCCTCTCACAACAAATCAGCATAAGCATTAGCATTAACCAAATTTCAGCGAAACGAACAGGGCCATTATTTGGAGATGGACGGCAGATGGGGAGTACACTACAAAGAGTGCTTATCAGGTTCAGTTCATTGGAGTCTTCTGTAAAATAAAATTGACACCGATTTGGAAGGCCAAAGCGGAGCAGAAATGTTGGTTCTTTGCGTGGACCTTGATGCACAAGAAGATCCTTACAGCAAATAACCTTTCCAAAAGAGGATTGACGGATGAGACAGACTGCAAGAGTGCAAGCTATGCCTAAATGACCAAGAAACTCTGGTGCATCTGTGCAAACACTGTCCTTTTACTAAGGTTTGGGGATACATAAGGCAATGGTTCAATTTGTCAGTTTTGGACTCAGTTAATGAAATGGGCTCCCTGCACTCTTACTGGTGGAGATGTCGGCGGAAAATTGATAGAAACCAAAGAAGGAAAGTTGACGGAATCTTCATCTACTTCTGGTGGAGCGTTTGGAAAGAGAGAAATCGAAGAATTTTCCATCACACTTCGCTCAGCCCAATGCAGGTCACTGGACTATGCAAGGATGATATTATGCAGTACCGATCGGCTATGGCCCCCAGGAATGATGAAAAGCAATCGCAGTAGGGCAGTAGCGGTTTTGAGTTTTAGTCCCGGCCCCTTCATGGTCGTTTGTGCTCAGGCTCTCCCCACAAGTTGGTTGTGGTTCTTTCCCTCCTGTTCCCGGTTGTTCTCGTTCTTTGTTTTTCACTAGTTGTTTTGCTTTTATGTTGTTTTCAGTGCCTTCAGTAGTCTGTCAGGGGGGAGATCTTAGAGTGTTGCGTAAGTCATTTTGTACAGTTTTTTTTTTTCTTTTCTATCGTCTAATAAAACTTGTGGCAAAGTTTTTGCCGTTCTTTTAAAAAAATAAATTAATATAATTAAGGTATTTTTCGTTTTGTTCTAAATCAAAATTTTCTAGATTCTTCCAATTTATTGAAAAATACATCTCCATCTAAAACATCAATCAATCAAAGTTAGCCTACTCCTTATATCTTGGAACGGAGGAAGTAGCTACAATGTCCTGCTTAGCCTGAACCCATGAAAGTCATCAGTCTCTACAAGTCAATAATATATAGAATCTATGAAAAAGTTTCGTAATATAGAAACGCATGCCTCTCGATGCCTTGATCGATGAATGGCGTTTGACGGACCAATCCGATACAAAAGCCTCATATGCCTTGACTGACAAAGAGAATCAGCTTTCACTAGTAATGTATCCATAAACACATATTATCTTATATGAAAGCTCGAAATATGAAGCTTCTGCTCTGTGCATTTGAGCAAGTATCATGGTTAAAAAACAATTTTCATAAGAGCGAATTATTCTATTTCGGAGATGCCCAAGACCACCTTGATCAATATGTCAAACTGCTTGGCTGTGAGTCTGGAGATTTTCTAATTCGGTATTTAGGAATTCCTATACATTTTACGAAGCTTAGCTATACCCAGTTTTGGCTTACCATGATTTTGATCGGGCAAAATTTGAAAGCAAACCAAACAGGCCGTGAGATCGAACGCAGCCCACCCACCCCACGTGCGGGACAAGGGCCTCGGCCTACATAGAGTCCAAACTCTCCCACCCTGTGGTGGTTTGGATCGGAGCAATCACCCTGCCCATGGACGAGCGGCCCAGGTCTAACTACGGGTTGTTGCTCATCGTGCAGGCAGCTAGCCATCCCTGCAGGCTGCAGATGACAGGCACACCGCACACGTACACTGGCGTCTGGTGTGTGTGGAGTGTGGTGGTGACACACAGCCAGTGGACACACTACAGCAGCGGACAGAACGAACGTAAGCTGTACTTGTGCCTTTAACCGTGATACGGAGTATACAAATTAAAGCAGCACCACACGAACGAACTCAAACAAACTGCACCACTCTATACCTCCGATCCGATCGTTCCACACAAATTATTCGGAGGGTCGGAGAGGCTGATGAAGATGAACAGCAGAGGAGAAGCTAGAGAACACGGACGGTTCACCACCTGCAGTGGTTGCGCCCGTCGGGCGTCGTCGGCTCCTTGGAAATGAGGAAGCCCAGCTCGTCCCCGGCGAACTCGACGAGGCTCTCCATCTCGCAGTCGTCCACGAAGCCGTTGCGGTCCCTGTCGGCGCGGCGGACGGCGCACCAGGCCTTGACGCTGGCGAACCACGCGCCCCGGCGGCGGATGGCCTCCCGGAGCTCCCGCCTGCTGATCCGCCCGTCGCCGTCGGCGTCGAACTGCTTCAGCCACCTCTTGAACTCCGCCGCCGTGACGCTGGTCCTGTGCTCCTTCCCGGGGAACAGGCACCGGCTGCTGCCCGAGCCCGGCCCTTCCGTCGCCTCGAGGCATCTGGCCGTGGCGGACATGGCAGCTGGCTGGTGCTTCCACCCTGTGGGCGTCGCCGTGCCGGAGCTTGCGATCACCGTGCCTCGAGCTCCTTTTATTCGCATTAATCCTAGCGTTATTCGTCTCTATCTGCAGGTAGCAGGCTGCAGCCTAGGCTGCTAGGTGCTACCGTGCTCGTGCTAGAAGCTAGATGCTTGTGTCGATCGTCTCGCCTGCCTGTAGTGGAGGACACGCTGTGGTCTGTTCATCATCTTCTGCACCACAGTGGCACAGTCCACAGCACCAGCCACCAGGACGCCCATGCATATATCCTCACCATGGAGCTACGGCCGGCAATGGCATCTGCCTGCTTTCTGATGTGGAGGCCTGCAATTATTTGATTCTGTCTTGTGCGCCACCAGCAAGTTATGCAAAGATATGTATCTCGATCCAGATCGAGGCAACGTGTTTCGTCTACACGTAGTGCGTACGTAGTACGTACCCCCAACCCCATACGCCACCCTAATGCAACAGCACCAGGCCAAACAGTTGGAAGTTCTTTCTGTGGGTCCCAAGCAAATGGAATGGAATCTCCCAAAGCTTTGGCACAAAACAATGTACATGCGTACTATGTGCCTGGATGGTGAAGCATATTCTTCCGTTGGGCGCTCTGCCCCTGATCATCTTTCACAAACAGCCGTGCGAAAGCAGAAGTCCATCATAATATCGCCCGTAGTTTTGTTGCCTTAGCTTGTGTCTTACCCCACCGCACATGTCACTCGCACAAGATCAATCCCTATTTCCGAGTGCTAACGGAGTAAAACGTGATGGGTTAGATTCACTGCTAAAATGCTAAAATGGTGGAGTTCTTCTAATATTTTTAAGTAGTAATAATAACACACTATTATCAGTCATATCACACGAAAATCCTAGCTCACTAGGCATTTAGTAGGAAAAAACTTATACTAAATATTGAATGTTAAACACTAGAAGAACCCTACATCACTAGTTGAATAAATTTTTGAGTTGTAAATCACCCCGTGACCACACAACAAGTTGTACGTGTTGTTGGAACGCATGGCCACACTTGCTATATATCTATATACCCAATACTCCCTCTATTACAAATTATAAGTCATTTTAGTATATTGTTATGCATCTAATATACACTATATATATATAGACATATAGTAAAAAATATGTATCTAGAAAAACTAAAACGACTTATAATCTGGAACGGAGAGAGTATTAAAGAGAGAGAGAAGGGATTCATCCATACTTTTTTTTGTACTTCACACAATAAAATAATTGAATAAATCTTTGAGCCAAGTACAAATCATCTGGATGACAACGCAACAAGCTATACATTCTGATACAATGCATGGGCATATTTGCTAGTTTTACTCTATATTCTATTTTAGTCTATATTTCAAAGCAATAGAATTAGGACAGAATAATAAGGCTACTCACATAGGTTCACCACTTAGCTTGCATCCCTAGTTATACCTCCTTTTTGTTTTTCCACAAACAGATCTATAGCTCTATTGATTTAAAAGTTTAGGTCGTCGATATAAAGTATTTTTAGAGGCTTGGAGAAATATTGTGATTTTGTAGAATATTTTGGTTTTGAGAAACAACATACAAGGAGTTCTAATGCAACAAGTTATGTATTTTTTTGGAAACTGTGGTATTGTTAAGACTATAGTTTTTGGACTTTAACAAATGTTTATCAGGACTTGTTTGAAAATCATAGTCCTATGGTGTATGGTGTATGCCTTTTGTATTATTATTAGACAATAGCATTACATATGTTGTGTATTTTGTAGGCTAAAATATCATGGTATATATGATCAAATGATCACATATGTGCATCAGATCAGATCATCGCCAGCTCGATCGTGATATTGTTGTATAGTTGTAGCTGTGGAGCTATGCTCTAATGACTAAGGCCATGCTCCATGAAGGTTGTGTGCTGTGTATGGTATATTGGTATATACGGGTAAACAGAGGAACTGAGAGTCCATATAAACACATGGAATGGATGGATTGCTACAAACAATTATACAACGGGTAGCATCATCATCATCATCACTTGGCCACGCAGCAGTACACTTAACAAGCTGCTAGCATGTACATAGTACATATGCATGCTTCCTCTCCTGCTTCGACACAAATTATTCAGAGGAGAAGCTGGAGGTAGCAGCGGTACGATGACACACACAGAGGAAGAAAAATGAAAGAAAAACTACCTAGTACAGTACTAGCACTACACACACCGGACGTAACTAATCAAGTACGTCTCACGAAATATAGTACAGTACAATATATCACGAAATACAGTACAGTACAATATACGCCGTCATGTACGTCGGCGACCTGTAGCTGTAGAGAGGAGCAGACGACAGACTAGCTCATCGCGCCGCCGTTCATTCCGTTCTGATCCTGAAGCCCAGCTCCCTCTCGGCAAAGTCGATGAGGCCCTCGATCTCGGAGTCGTCCACGAACCCGTTGCGGTTCCTGTCGGCGCGCCGGACAGCGAACAGTGCGCGCAGGCCGGAGAACCACGCGCCCCGGCGGCGGATGGCCTCCCGGAGCTCCTTCCTGCTGATGCGGCCGTCGTGGTCGGTGTCGAACTGCTTCACCCAGCGCTTGAACTCCGGCACCGTGATCGCTGTCCGGTGCTCCTTCCCCGGGTTCGGAGTCGTCAGGGCTGCCGTGGCCATGGCTGCTGCTGCTGCTTGGGCCTGGAGCTCTAGCTACTAGCTAGCTTATGAGCTAGCCTGTGGTCGTGCTAGGAAGCTATGGCAGTCCTGCGCGCACGTCGGAGCTTGCGATCAGTTGCCGCTCCTTTTATAGGTGCGCCGCGCGGGACAGTGCACGGGCCTCGACGATTCCATGTCTCGCGCGCGCGTTCTCGTAGCTTTATAGATTCGCCTCTATCTGCAGGCAAGATTTGTCTCACACTCTCACTCATAGTGGAAGACCGCCAGAGACTGGCTGGTGCCGCTGGCCATGCGAAAGGTGACGTGTGTTAGCCTGCATCATATCCATGCGTCTCACGCTGGGTTATTCTTTGGGTTTGTTCGTTTCTGCAGGTTGATCGAGAAAGGGAGAAGGGCATCTCTTTTTTGTGATGTGAAGGGGGGACTGCATGCAATTATTTGATTCCAATGCGGCAATGCCTGCAGCTAATTAATTAACGTTCATGTAATAAGGTCACATCTGGTATTCTGATGCAGCGTATTATGTACTACATCTGCCGATCTCCGTGCCGGTAGATGCGCTTTAATAATTTAATAACAAATATTAGGTGTTTTAGTTTTGTTCTAAATTGAAATTTTCTAAATTCTTCAAATATATAGAAAAATATATCTCCATCTAAAACATCATGTAGCTAATGAAAGTTTATAATGAAATACCCGGCTCTGATAGTTAAAATATCATGAAATGTATACCCTGATAGTTGATTTATTTAGTTTCTATCATAGATTTTTTTTTTGACACGAGGAACCTTCCTCATTTCCATTGATATCAACGGAAATACATAGTTTTCAGAGTTTATCAGAAGAGAGCGACAGACCAACCAGAATACTTACACCGCACTTAACTTCCTACATCTTGATGCTAAAAAAACCAGAAACTAAAGACTGACAGCAAGGATCGATGCTATTACACCACAGTTCCGAGAAGACGGCCATAACCAGCCCAAAAAAACTGTCTACCAGCAGCCAAACGCAAGCCAAAAGATAGATCCACCAAGATCTCCAGGTAACAGCAGCGATAGGAAGCCTGGGAATTGCAGCATCAGATCTTAGCGCTCCTCTTCATCCTGGTCATCCTTCCGGCGGTCAGACAGCAGATGTCGGCCTTTCTTCACCTCCTTCTTGCCCATCAGCTCCATGGCAGTTTCTATCATAGATGATCGTTAAATATTTTTCTATAGACTTAACCCCTTACACGTTGAAGGATGAAGTAGCAACCACCTCTGACCACGTTCCCCTAAAGATTGATATCTCCACCACCATCCCTAAGTCTAAACTCTTTCGCTTTGAGAATTATTGGATTCAATGTCCCGGTTTCAGCGAGGTCTCTGCTGCAGCCTGGTGTTGTCGGACGGACAACAGTGACCCTGCTGTTGTCCTTGCCACCAAACTTAAAGAAACCCGGTCTGCGCTCAGAAACTGGAGGGGGTGAAAACAAAACCTCACTCAGCAGGAAACGGATTGCAGGATGGTCATCAATTTGTTGGACCGAGTTGAAGAGAATCGCCCTTTATCCACCTCTGAATCCAATCTACGCACACTCATTATCAACATTCTTACCAGGGTCACCCATTCCAAGTTGCTTCTGTGGAAACAAAGAGATAAAGTCAGGGCAGCTATTGAGGGTGACAAAAACACCAGATTTTTCCACGCCTGTGCTAATCAACGCCACCAGCGCAACAAGATCCAAATCATCGAGCACGAAGGATGTGAGCTTCACAACCATGATCAGAAGGCGGCTGTTCTCCATTCCTTCTACCTAAATCTCTTGGGCTGTGCCCGTACTACTAATTGGAGATTCCAGATCAGTGAACTATACCCTGAGGGTCCCCTAGATCTTAGTCATCTGGATGCCCCCTTCGAGCGGGCCGAAATCCATCACGCTTACCATCACATGCATTCCAATGCTAGCCCGGGTCCTGATGGCTTTGGCCCTTCGTTCTTCGAGGCCACCTGGGCTGTCACCTCTCCTGATTTATATTCTCTTTTTGATTCTTTCCATTCCCACACCACCTCCATCGAGCGCCTCGACAGATCATATCTGGTCCTTCTTCCTAAAAAGCATAATGCCAGGAAGCCCCAAGACTTTCGCCCTATTGCTCTTCAAAATTCTACCATCAAGGGGATCTCCAAAGTCTTGACTAACAGGCTTCAGCCCCTAATCCCTTCTCTCATTGGTAGTGATCAGTCTGGCTTTGTCCTTGGCAGATGCATCGCTGACAATTTTGCTTATGCCACTGATCTCCTTCACTGCTGCCATCGCCGCAATGCCCCAACTATCATTCTCAAGCTCGATTTTCACAAGGCTTTTGACTGCGTGAATTGGGACAGCCTTGATCACATCCTCCGTTGCCGTGGCTTCTCCGACAAATGGTGCAAATGGGTGCGTGATCTCCTTGACACTGGCAAGACTGCGGTGCTCCTTAATGGCGTCCCGAGGCGCTGGATTAACTGTCGAAACGGCCTTCGGCAAGGTGACCCTTTGTCTCCTTATCTCTTCATCATAGTTGCCGACGTTCTATGTCGACTCCTACAACACCCCGCCATTGCCGGCTGTATCAAGCACCCTCTGATGCCAAACGCTCCCTGCCCTGTGCTTCAGTACGCTGACGACACCCTAATTTTCCTCAGCTACTCCCCTGATGCTGTCAGTGAAACAAAGCATATCCTTGAACTCTTTGAGCACACCACTGGTCTATCTATCAACTACCACAAAACCACCTTCCTCCCTATCGGGGTGCCCGACGATATTGCTCTTGAACTTGCTACTGCTTTTGGGACGACGGTCTCCTCTTTCCCTCAGACATACCTTGGCCTACCTCTGTCCCCTCAAAAAATCTCTGTAGCTGATTGCCTCCCCTTGATTTCTAACTGTGATAAGCACCTTTCAGGGTGGCGTGCCTCCTTGCTAAATAGAGCCATGCGACTAACCTTGTCCGCTGCTGTCCTTAGCTCTATCCCTCTCTGTTAGGTTTGATCTCCCACCAGGTAGGCCCAACGGCCTTTTGGGCCTTGTTCTCGCGCCCTGATCGGGGGCGCCCAACCCTACATGGTTGGTGGGCCCCCGTCGCACAGCGCTATAAAGGAAAGGTGGGGGCCGGGGCTCGCAGTACGAGGTTGACCGCGCCGCCAGTCACCCCACCGATATCCTAACCCTAGACCCGATCTTGAGAAGGCGCCGCCAATGACGGAAGCACCACCGACGCCGCAACACCACCCCGACGCACACGCCATTGCCGCCGAGGACGCCATACAGTACGACTCCTCTCCACCGAACGTCGGCTGCCAGCCTGAGATGGCGTCCACAACGAAACCCCGACCGGAGCTTCGACCACTACGGCTTTCGATGGTTTGCTACCTATCAACCCCTTTCTCTCTGTCTCTCTGTCAATCCCGAACACCTATTCTATTACTATGTATCCCGATCTGATGAATATGCCTAAAAAGAAAATCCAACAATGGTATCGGAGCCACGGTTCGACAAGAAATCAGATCGGGGAAGTGAAACCGACCGATCTGATGCGGATCGGGAAAGAAAATAGAAAGCCGAACCCTAAGACCTAACCCTAATTCCCCAAATCAAATTGGAAGAAGGGAAAAGGGGAGGGTTGGATTCCGAGAACCCTAGACACAAATCCGAAAGTGGGAAAAGGGGAAGAAGAAAGAAAGAAGGGTCGAAACCCCAACCCTAACCCCAGTTTTCCCATTCGGATGAACAAAAAAAGGGAAGAAATCAAATCGGTCAACCTAACCCTAACCCTAACATGAATCAAGAATGGGGTCCTACCAGGGCCCTCATCCCGCCGGCGGCATCACCACCGCGCGGGACAAAGAACGAGCGATCGGCCCTCGCCAAGAGGAAGAGACTGCCGCGGTGCGGTACTTCCCCGTACCCGCACCGGCGTGCGGGATGAAACCGAGGCCACCCTCGTGAGGCGGGAAAAGAAGTCGAGCCAGGGGCGCTGGCTCGCCGGGCTTGACCAAGGAAGCGCCGCGGCCAGGCCGCTCGACGGCGGTGTGCTCACCCGTTGGGGAGCACGCGTGTCGGAGAGGGGCCCGGCGACGGCGCAAAGTGTCCGCTCGCTCGTCGCTCCTTCGCTCTCGGGTGTGGCTCGCTGCTGCGGCTGAAGAGAGATGAGAGAGAGCGGCGAAGAAGAGAGAGAAAGGGAAGGGACGAATGCGCTAGGGTTTCTAGGGCGTCGGCCGCGGCGACGTTTTTGATCCACGCGAAACGGACGCTCGGCCGTCGGATCAGAATGAACAGTCGAGATGCGCTGGGCCAACTCGCGTCGGCCCAAAGTGGCGAGAGGCGGCGCGACACTTTTCCGCCCAGCCCAAAGTTACGGCTGGGTGTGCTGGCTCTCTTGCGCCGAGAGACAACTGGGTAGAAGCGGTTTTTTCAATAAGCGTCTTGGGCCCACGCTACTGGGTTGAAATGAAAGAAGAAGAAGAAATTTTTTCTTATTATTTTCCAGGAGCAATTTTAAATGCATATTTTGATGAATTTGAATGATTTTGACACAATTTTCTGTGCAAATTTTATCCAACGATATTTTGCTCAGAAAACAGTGAATTTTTTAGTGCTTCTGAAAAATAATAATATGAAAAGATTATTAATGTTTCCGCTGTGCATGATAATTATTGTTCTCTTTGATTAAATTTGAACCAACGGGATAATTTAATTTTAAGAGAAATGAATTTCTGATAATTTTGATGCGATTATGATATTGTTATTTTCTGACCAACATTGTTAATAACAATATTATAATTTTGATCCATGAGAAATTGTGCATTAATTTTACTTCTGCCCAACGATGATGTAAAATGTTTGCATGGATGAATTATAAGTTTTAATTTGACCAACGTTGAATTAAAGCATGAAATTTTATGTATAAATGTTCTTACTTACTCTCAAATGCATTGTGAACATTGCCAACATCCCGACACTCAACGGAACCAAT